CCCCCCCCCCCCCCCCCCCCCCAGCTGGTCTATACATACACACTCTCACACACTCTCACCCCTCACCCCCCACACACACACACACACACACACACACACACACACACACACACACACGTATTGTTGGTCTTGCGATGAAGAAATGTTTATCATACTTAATGTAGGCTACCGCAGTAGTGAATAAATTAATTAAAATTTGAAGATGAAACGGCTTCGTCCCCACCATCAACAAGAATTTTAACTAAGAACAAAGAGATGGAAAACAGAGGTAACTCTTCTCGTTTGAATGGCTCTCAAAATGCCGTGGCTCACGGTGAGTATAGAAAAGTCATCACTGTTTAATTCTTATTGCTTGCTATTTGGTGGTAAAGAAGTGGAAGCAGATTAAGCCCCACCCAAATTTTGGTCCACCCTCCGTCCCTGAGAGAGAGAGATTATTGAATAGAAAAGTTGAATGGGCACAGGTCTACTTTAAGCAGAGTTGGATGATTAAAATACTGCCTGGCAGTTACATCCAGGGATCGCATATTAGTGCGCAAACCCCAGAGAGGCTATAATACTACCAGCGAGTCTCTCTAGCTGATACATGTAATTCTAGAGCTCGTGGGAGTGACGTCACGACCCGTGTGTCAGACATGGATGCCTTCTTGCCTTCATCAACATGGCCGGCGCGACCCCATGTAGTAACATGAGAGCAATCCCCCGCCCCCGCCCCCGCCCCCGCCCCCGCCCGCGCTCCCCACGAGCTCAAGTATATCAGTTTTAATCATATTAACCCTATCCGTACGCCGTGTTTTACTATCGTATCCATACGACGTGGGGAACTCTGTGCCACCACTTTCAAAGAGAAAATTTACTCGTTAATCCGATCGGTAGGCTACGCTTTGCTTAGCAGTCTGACAAAATGATTTTCTGAAAAATACTGAAAATTTCAAAAAGATTTTCGTACTAGAAGTGATGAATACAACCTCGGGGGGTACAAAATGACCTCAGGGCGTACGGATAGGGTTAATTAAACACCCAAGTACCCCCACATTTCAGTGCAAGCTTGTAGATTTCTTTCCAAGACTGACGCTAGAAGTTTCCGCGTGAATCTCCAAAAAGGTGCTCACCCGTTCGTTGTTGGATTGCGCTGGTTCTTACCCCCAACGCTTCTAGCTTATGTGTCACCGAATGGGCACACGCAGACCCCGTCCATTTACGTTGGTGACATCATTACCACGAGCTCTAGGCTGTCTCGCGGTTTTATGCCCAAAAAAATCTGAAATTATGCAAACTGAGCCCAAAAATGTGAAATTATGCGATTCTGTTAATTGTAACAAAGAATGATAAAGGAAAATAATCAGAAATTATGCAAAAAATGATCAAATTATGCTAAATTATGCGGGGTGCATAAAACCTCGGGGACATTTAAGGAATAGATCTATATAAAATCCCTTTTGTAAACTCCGAACTTTGTCCCATGAGACACAAACAGCCATCGGGCGCTATTGGACACTGTCGGTGAAAAGCCTCAATGGTAGATAAGATAAGATAAGATAAGATAAGATAAGATAAGATAAGATAAGATAAGATAAGATACATCTTTATATTTATAATTGTCCAGATCCTGTTATTTCCATGTTGATCGCTATTCTCGATAGTTTTCTATTTCTTTAGATGTCAGGTCTGGAGCAGAGATTTACAGACGACCCCGGTACCATATCCCGTCCTGTTATTGTCACGTTTCAACCACACGGGACGAGTCTCTTAGAAGAAAAAAATTAGAAATTTAAAAAGAGGAGAAAAACACACACAGTTGTATTCATTTCATCATGAGTGGCAGTGAAATAAAAGAGCAACATTAATCGTAATTGAAGGAGGCAGCATTTTGTTGTAAAGATCTAAGAAGCATATCTATTACCGAGTTTGAATACATGTACTTTGTAAAAGTAACAGAGACGTTTCGTTCAAATGCATAACTTCTTTGTTCAAAAGCTTTGTCGTGTTGTCTGCCCTGACATTGATCGGGTGGTTGGCTATTGCACAACACTGGGTTTTGCCTGAGACCAAAGATTTATAACCTCTTTGCCCAAGACGGAAGTTAGTTTGGTCGGCCTTGGGTTTTGATTCAAGAGATCTACTTTGGTAATATATTATGTCACTTCTGACTTTGTGTGTGTGTGTGTGGGGGGGGGGGGGGGTTACAGTTTGTCGTAGTTCATCTGAACTCCCAGCCGACGACATACGATTGGATAAATCATTCACACAGGCATTTGAACGGCAGCGCGAATAGTGAGTGACTTCACCCTTCGAAGCGTCAATTTAGTTTCGATTGCTCAAAACCTAAAGCACTACCCGATTACTGCCGATAATGGATATCACTAATGTGTGTTTCGTAATTTTTGTTTTTAGCTTGAAGATGTGGTGTTTCAGGGTACC